GAACACCAAAAAGGTAGAGACGGGACATATTTTTCCCCATAAGAAATAATGGAAAACCAAGTAATTGGTCTGAGGCCCAAAAATTATACTTAAACATTTGATGTCCAGGACTTTTAAGTTACTGTGGGGGCTTTTAGCCTTCTCGGATGCCACTGGCTCGAATATGCTCTTGCTGCTGAGTTATTTCTGATTTATCCAAATTGACAGTAACTTTTCAACCTCTTCGATGGTCTGAGTTCTTTGTTTCATGGTTATCGATTTCACACCTTTGGCTACATTCACTGCTTTAACTACTTGTCTCCCCCCTCCCCCCTCCGCCCCAAACAAACAAAACTGTTGGTAATGTCAACTCAGCCCTGTTGTATTCAGCCGCCACATCAGACCAGTGGCGACCTGATTCAACTTTTGCAATGATTTCTTTCTTTAACGCTTATCGTGGTACTCTGGTTTTGCTGGTGTCATTAACTGTCTTTGGAGCCATGGTTATGATCGTTGACACAATGAAAGTGCCCCCCAAAGCCACAGTGATGAACGATGGAACACACTAACACAAGTACTGTATGTTGGCTGAGCGCGAGCAGTGCTTAGACTGAAGCATCAATCAATCGCCCCTTTGTTTCCGCGGCAAGACTCGACCGTGACTCACTCTCATCCCATACAGGTGCTTTCAAGTCAGATTTTCACTGTGACTCGGCAGCAAGGTCACAAACACCGAGCAGGTGTTTTCAGACTGCTGTTTGGACTTGGAGCCATTTCACAACCGAGGTGTCACTGTAGCGTACAGCTGTCTTTCAGGAATTCCTGTAAGTCTTACCAAAATTAAGGCATCTTACCTAAGATATTCAAGATCCTGGTGGTATAGAAGTTATGTACTAGACTGTTAGCTGCAAGCTTGGCAGTTGGAAACCACCAGCCATTCCACGGGAGAAAGATGAGGCTTTCTACTCCTATCAACTCTTGGAAAACTGTGGATAGTTCTACCCTGCCCTATAGTACCGTTATGAGTCTGAATTGATTCTATGGCAGGGATTTGGAGTTAATGGTATTGCCACAGTTAACACATTTGGCTGCTAACTGAAAAGGTGGAAGGTTTGAGTATCCGGAGGCACCTTGGAAGAATGGCCTGGCAGTCTACTTCAAAAAAGTCAGCTGTCGAAAAACCCTGTGGAGTTTCACTGTAACACCCATGGGGCCGTTGTGAGTCAACATTAACAGCAACTAGTTTCTTTCTGTTGGTTTTCGGTTGTCATTATTGACTTGTGAGCATTCTGATAATTCACATACATGATTGTGAGGTGGGAGTTAAATTCAGCACCAATCTAGATGACCTGTTTTCCATACATCTCATTTTCATATGTCTGTGGAATGCGTTCATATTATATGATATGAAAGAAACCTGGTGGCATAGTATGTTATGCATTGGACTGCTGACCACAGTCAGCAGTTGACTATTCTCAGCCATTTTGTGACTTTCTATCCCCATAAAGATTTAGTTTAGTTGCAGAAACCCACAAGGGCAGTTTTACTCTGTCATAAGGGTCGCTATGAGTTGGAAACAACTCAATGGTAGAGGCTTTTGAGTTGTGCTGATATAAACTTAAAATAAGGTGAATTGAGTGGGAAAGAAAAAAATGAAGAGAAAATGTTTTAGTCATAATTTAGATTCTTTACCATTGCTTTTTATTTATGTAAGTACTTGAGAATGTATGGAAACCTGCCAGGATTGTAATTTGCTTAAAGCTATACAAATAGTGAATGAATGGTAATCAATCATTTTGGGGTAGTTTTATGTATAACCTAGAGCAAACTTTCTGTAAAATATCATACAGTAAATACTTTAGGCTTTATGGGCCAGAAGGTGAAAGTAGGAGAGTATTATAAGAGAGAAGCCAAATTTTACTACATACTGTATTACAAAATTCAAACTATAAAGATTGTGTATATCTTTAATGTTAAGTCAAGTAGTGAATAAGAATGTCATACTTTTAGGGGTGCTGAGAGATAAAACATTTTACATAATTTGAGTTCAAGTTAGTGTACCTATAATTAAAATCATTTGCAAATGTTTTTTTTAATATTGACTTGAAATTAAATTTTACGTTTCATTTTGAAAATACCTTTTCACACATAGGTACTGTCAGGAACTGGTATCAGTCCACAAGTATCTGCTTTTACTGAAACATCATTCCTTAGAAGGCATTTGTTGGAATCTATTAGATTGTTCCCTAATGTTTGCCTTTTAGCCTATCATTACATTTCAGGGCATCACTTTCAGTTACAGTTTAAGTGCAAGCCCCTCAACCGCACAGTTAATTTTGAGGTGCGGAAATGTCCTTGGCTCACTGCCTAGAGTTCCCCAAAAGGCTGCTGTGACTGTAGGGTGAGCTCAGAAAATATTTCAGCTGCAAATCTGTGAGAAAGGAAGTCTCAGTTCTTCAGCAGCACAGAAAATGTACCAAGCAGCTTCGCATTACTTACATTAACAACATTAGTTATTGTTGAAATGACTTTACCCCACAGTATAAGTTTAGCATAAGCACTGTTTTTACCTTGTAATTTTACATTGAATACATTAAGAAACATCATCAGGTCTGAGGCAAAAGCTCATTTTCCAACTCATTCAGTGTTGACTGAGGACAATTCTTTTCATTGGGGGGTGGTGGTTCATTTTGACCCCAAACACCCAAAAAATCATGATAAAACTACCCATATGCCATGAACCTGCTTTGTGGTGGGGCAGATCAGGGTTATGTTTTGATGAAAAGTCAGAACGGATGATGGTAAAACTCGAACTCGCTGTCATCGTGTCCATTCCGACTCATCTATAGCACAGGCTCGAACTGCCCTCTGGGTTTCCCTCGGAGTGGACGGTGAGTTTGAACTGCTGGCTTGGTGGTTCGCGGCCCAACGTGTGCATACTATGCCACCAGGGCTCCTTCGGTAGCATGATTGAGTCACATATCGTTTCTGCAAAGGTACCTGCTGATAAGGGGGAGCCCTGGTGGCGCAGTGGTTATGCGTTGGGCATGAGGCAAGGTCCACATTGGAAACCAGCAACCACTCAGGGAAAGCCGGGGCTTTGTGCGCCCATGACCGTTACAGTCTCGGAAACTTGCAAGGGCTCTTCCACTGCTTCATTAGCATCAGTTTGATGGGAGTGTGAGAGACCTGCTGATACATATAAATATTTTCACCAATTTGTCTTTCTCTGCTTCATACACTTTGTCCCAGAACATCAGTTGTACCGCTGCTTCACCGATTGCCACGTCAGGTTGGACTGAATTACTGTTTTCTCTCTCTCAACTTTGAAAATAGTCTCACCTAATATTGTTCTGTGCACACTGTTCGTAGAAACGAACCTCAGTTACTTCCAACTCCTAAGCGCGCGTGCTGCGGGGGGGTGGGGGGGTAGCTAGATAGTATTAGTCACATTTGTTGGCTCATCAAAAATCAAGGCAAAACCACTTAACATAATTTGCCTTGTTTGTTTGTTTGTTTGTTTTTGATTGATAATGTTACTCCCAGTATTCTTTAAGTGTTTGAGCAACTGTGCTAAAAGGCTAATATTTAACAAGTGGCTTTTTTCGGGACGCGTTTCTTCAGCTGTTGCACTTCAGCGCAGTTGAGCTCACTATTGATCAATGGCTCTCTTCTCTTGGCTAACAGACGCTGCTTAAAACTTAATGTGGCTGAAGCCTCAGTGTCATTCTTTCTAGAGAAAAATGTTTTTGATGAGCTATTTAAATTTTATAATTAGACTGTAACTGTCCTATGCGTTAAGTTGAGAATATTGTCATCAGTGCTTAGTCTGGTGCTGTCAGTGTATATTTATTACGTTAGCACAGTTACCGTGTCATTACATAATAAACACATTCTTTGTCATGCAGTATGATAAAACGAATCCATATTTCACTGTACCTTTTAAGCACAACATTCAAAAGCCTTTCCTTTTGACACGATGAGCGTAGCGCAAGTAGTCCAGTACCGCATCCCAGCGTGTGATGACCACTATAACAGTTCTTATAACTGCATCGGTGTCGTTTCTGATGCACAGAGCAGTGCCAAACAAGGAGAGTGCTACATCTTTCACAACTACCGAACTCTGTCATTGTAGCCCAAGAGTAGGCACTGTGTTAAGTGAACATGTGGCTGGTAGGAAGTAAAACCGAATACAAATTAGAGTTGCATAGGATTTTCGCATGTCACAAAAATATTTTTTTAGCCCTTTAAAAGTGTGGAAAACATTCTTGGTTTTCTAGAAGTTGTTGAAGACTGTTCTGTTGTGCATATTTTTGCCAAGCTTGAAAAAGATAATTACATGAATAACAATGAGTACAGAGAACAAGAAAATGTGCTAAAATTGATTGTGGTAATGATTGTACAACTCTTCTTGATATGGTTGAGCTATTATATATGTGAATGAAGTGTCAATAATACTGTTAAAAAAATTCTTAGGTTGGAAACAATAAAAGCAGGCAGCAGGGCTGGATTTGGTATGTGAACCAGAGTTTGCCGACCCCTGGCCTAGTCTTTTCCTAGTACAGATAGTCCCTGGGTTACCAGGAAGATTCCTTCCTGAGTCTACCTTGAAGTCGAATCCGTTGGCTAGTTGGAGCAAGTGTGTATGTTCTTATTTAGCATCACTGTAGTGCAGGGAAAAACTCAAAGCCTTTTCAGTGATTTAAAGGTTACCTTAAATCATGGCACAGGTTTTGAGAACCGGGTGTTGGTTGCCTTCTTTCAAAGTGAGGGCAAATCTACGTAGTAATATTAGAGTGGAAGTATGAAAGTATGATCTATGCATAAATCGGAGGTTTGTAACCCAGGGACTTACTGTCTAACTGCTTTTTCAAGAGCTCTCCTGTCATGACAATGCATTCATTGGCCGTCCTAAAATCCACATCTTGACGTGCATTCTGGATGTGCACATAATTAAAACTGTTATACAGAATGCATAGTGAGTGTTTTACTTTTAAAATTGTTCTCTTTTTTGCTTTTAGATAATTTTCCACTTGTTCAACAAGATGGAAAACTCAGATTCCAACGATAAAGGGAGTAGTGACCAGTCTGCAGCACAGCGCAGAAGTCAAATGGATCGATTGGATCGGGAAGAAGCTTTCTATCAATTTGTAAACAACCTGAGTGAAGAAGATTATAGGCTTATGAGGGATAACAATTTGCTAGGCACCCCAGGTATGCTACCTGTAATTAAGGATTTTTGCATGCAAATTGCTTTATAAAAATACCTGTCTGTTTTGAAAATCCGTTTCTTTATGAGATAACAATTTTATTACAGTGATTTATTGTCACACTACTATTATATTTGGAATTCTCCTTAATCAGAGAACTTTTTTAAATGAAAAAAAACCTTGTTATTGTGAATTGGGTGAAGGTTTATAAAACAAAGCAAAAAATGAGCCGCCCTCACCCGGCCCCCCCTTTTTATGTCATTGATTACAATCCCCACAATGCACCATCTCTCATCCCACTTCCTCCGTGTGTTTCCTGTTCCCATGCCTTCTTTCCTAACCCTTCTGAGCGTTGTCCTTGGATAAATGCTACTCTTTTGATCTGAAATGTTTGATTGAGCCTAAGGTGTGCTTACCTGCCTTAGTGTTGTCACTCCTCTTGTAGACCTGGCTATTGTTTGGCTGGAAATTGAGCCATGGGATGAGTTCATTTCCAGGTTTGAAGGTTGACTCGGGGCGTAGTCTCGGGTATTCTACCAGTCTCTATCTCTGCCTAGTAAGCCTGGGCTTTTTAATCACTGTTGTCACTGGGGAAAATTGTGCAGTCTGAATTCCATTTTGATGTAAATTTCAGTGATTTAAATGGAAAAGAATAGACGTGATTGTTTTGTGGTTGCCATTTGTTTTACTTATGAGACATGGGTCCAGTGTGGATGGGAGCTTTGCTTCTTAGGATAGAGTTAAGTCTATTAGATGTATATTTCTCAGGTATGATTTTCCAGGGTTAGCTCTGGGTGAAAGAAGCAACTCTATAGAGCTCTGTTCTCAGTTGTCCTTTTACCCCTTTTAACTGCCACTTGATCGCGGTTAAAACTCATTCTCTTCTCCCTCGTTTCGGTTTAATTCTATTAACTTTGGGGTGGTTGCTTACATTTTAAAAAGGTAAGGTGTGACTTTTATGACGGCGAGTGTAGTTTGAGCCAGCCGTACCAGGCTTGATTCAGAATGCCTACGTTAGATTTCGGGCTTCTGGGAAGCAAGCCTATCCCAGTTGCATCTGTTTAAAAAATTAGATACTGTATAGATAGGAACTGGAAACTCAAGGAATCCAGGGCGGATGATCCCTTCAGGACCAGTGGTGTGAGTGGCGATACTGGGAGCACAGAGGGAGAGTGGGTTGGAAAGGGGGAACAAGGATCTACATGTGACCTCCTCGCTGGGGGACGGACAACCGAAAAGTGGGTGAAGGGAGATGTCGAACAGGGCAAGATATGACAAAATAACAATTTATAAATTTATCAAGGGCTCACGAGGGAGAGGGGAGTGGGGAGGGAGGGGAAAAATGACCTGATGCCAGGGGCTTAAGTGGAGAGCAAATGTTTTGAGAATGATGAGGGCAATGAACGTACAAATGTACATTACACAATTGATGTATGTATGGATGGTGATAAGAGTTGTATGAACCCCTAACAAAATGATTTTTAACAAATTAGATACTGTCTGCCAAACCACTATTGAAGAGGTGACTTCAGAAAGTTCATTGGAAATGAGAAAAGATAAAATTTTTACTGAGACTTTTGGAAACCTCCGTTATACATACAAGTTATCATATTTTGCTCCCAAAAGAAGTGAATTTTACCCAAGTTGCTACTCTTTGATTTCATGTAAGGGAGGTGAAGAACCGCTGGTTTTCATTTGTAATTTTTTTTTTTTAGCATTTTATTAGGGGCTCATACAATAGTTATCCCAGTCCATACACACATCAATTGTGTAAAGCGCATTTGTACATCGTTTCTCAAAACATTTTCTCTCCACTTAAACCCCCGACATTAGGTCCTCATTTTTCCCCTCCCTCCCCGCTCCCCCCTCCCGCATGAGCCCTTGATAGTTTATAAATGGGTATTTTGTCATATCTTGCTTTCATTTGTAATTTGATAAACATTTAAAAACTGCTTTCAGGTGAAAGTACCGAAGAAGAATTGCTGCAAAGACTACAACAGATTAAAGAGGGTCCGCCGCCACAAAACTCAGTGGAAAATACAGGTATAATTTGCATTCAGGGCGGGTAAAGGATGGAGTGGATGTGGAATTTGTAGTCCTCAATGTCAATCAAAAACTGCTCAGTACACATTAAATAACTTCATTAAAAGCCATTTACCTAGTGTATGGTAAGAATGTCTATGTTTTTATTTCATTTGACCTTTGGGTTGTTGATATTGAAGTGTAATGAAAAATGGCCTATTTAAATTTTCTTTTGTCGCCCATCTTCGTTCCGATTTATTTCAGCTTACTGAAATATTCCTTCTATAGAGACTTTCGCTATGAATCAGAATCAATCCCCTGGCAGTGGATTGTGTGTGTGTGTGTGTGTGTGTGTGTTACACATACATACATACAGATATGATTTCCTCACTAGCAAAAAGAAATGCTGCATACTCTAACCCAGGTGGTTCCTAACAGGCTGCAATTCTGTCTCTTAGGGGCTCTTTGGCAATGGCTGGAGACAGTTTTTGATTGACACAAACGGAGGGATGCTATTGGCATCTAGTGGGTAGAGGCCAGAGGTGTCACTAAGCACCCACAACCCAACTCCCTCCCCCGACAACTAAACATACGCTGCCTGGCAGCAAATGGCCTACAAGAGGGGTTGAGAAACTTTGGAAATGGAAGAGCCAATCCTGTCCCTCACAACAATTTTAAAATTATTCGAGAGCTATAAATATATTTTTACAAATAAATGAAATTACCATTATCTAAAGAATATCCTTAAGGGTTTTCCCCCCAATTTTACTTCAGAGCCACATGTCCATAAGAGCTGCATCTGGCTCTCAAGCCACGGTTTGCTCACCCCTGCCTTAGAAGAAGTATAGGCTAATGAAACTTCACCAGCACCACCCCAGAAGTGTTATTTTTACTAAAATACTAGTACTATATCTCAAGCTATGTTTACTTTATTTGACTGCCGTATTCCCCAAAGCGGGCAAACCTGCCCCCTGGGGGATACTGGAAAGACTCCGGGGTAGGGGGGACAGGTGCAAAAGCAGATACCTACGTTTTATCCTGGATTGTGGGCTGTAAGAATTGTCTTCTGACAGCCTCATAGCTATATGCTGGGCTCTCTATGATGAAAGGAGACCTGGTTGCACAGTGGTTAAGCACCTGGCTGCTAAACCAGAAGGTTGGTGGTTCAAACCTAACCTACCAACTGCTCCATGGATGAAAGGCATGGCAGGCTGCATCTATCAAGATTACAGTCTTGGAAACTCTACAGGGGGATTTCTGAGTATGAATCGGAATCAACTCATTGGCATTGGGTTTAGGCTTTGGGTATATGATGAACCCTCCCTGATGGGTGTAGAGGTTAGGCGCTCAGCTGCCAACCAAAAGGTGGGCCGTTTAAACCCATCAGCCACTCTGGAAGGAAGATGTGGCACACTGATTCCATAAAGATTACAGCGTTGGAAATCCTGTGGGACAGTTCTAGTCCAGTCCAGTAGGTTCTCGGTGAGTTGGAGTCAGTTCGACAGCAACAGGTGTAGGTTTGGTTAGCTTGATAAAGGGTAAAATACTGAAAATAGACTTCCTTCATAGTCCCTCTAAAAAACAATTCTCCATGTTTCTCTAGGATAAGATAGCTCTTCAAATGGAATTGAACCCTTAGCTATAATTTTATGGAGTGTAATTTGCAAAAATCTGCAAACATGTGAAATCTCTTTCAATGACTTTTGATAATACACACAAACTTTCAGGGTACTGTTTTATGATTGTCCTAATTTTGGAAGTTCTTTTTCTCCCTGCTTTGTTTCCCGAAACAGGTGGAGACTCTTCCGATGACGTATCCAATGGTGACTCTATAATAGACTGGCTTAACTCCGTCAGACAAACTGGAAACACGACAAGAAGTGGGCAGAGAGGAAACCAGTCCTGGAGAGCAGTGAGCAGGACTAATCCCAACAGTGGTGATTTCAGATTCAGTTTAGAGATCAATGTGAACCGTCATAATGGGAGCCAGAGTCCAGAAAATGAAAGTGAGCCATCTGCAAGACACCCTAGTGGGGAAAGTATGGAAAACAACAGCCAAAGGCAAGTGGAAAACCCACGATCTGAATCGCCATCTGCAAGGCCGTCCAGAATGGAACAGAATGCAACTGCGGCGTTCATCGGGGAGGTCCCCCCTGCTAGAGGTCAGAGAAGAAGAGCAAGAAGCAGAAGCCCAGATCACCGCAGAACCAGAGCAAGAGCTGAGAGGAGCCGGTCCCCTCTGCACCCAATGGGTGAAAGTCCACGGAGATCGCAGCATCGTATCTCATCTCAAGCTTTTGAACATCCTTTAGGAAATGAGACTGAAGGAAGTTCTAGAACACGGCACCACGTGACATTGAGACAGCAAATATCTGGACCTGAGTTGCTGAGCAGGGGTCTTTTGGCAGCTTCTGGGACCCGAACGGCGTCTCAAGGAGCAGCAGCTTCGGACACAACTGGCAATAGTGAATCAGGATCGGGACAAAGACCACCTACCATTGTCCTAGATCTTCAAGTAAGAAGAGTTCGTCCCGGGGAGTATCGCCAGAGAGATAGCATAGCCAGCAGAACTCGATCAAGGTCACAGACACCCAACAACACTGTCACTTACGAAAGTGAAAGAGGAGGGTTTAGGCGTACATTTTCTCGTTCTGAACGAGCGGGTGTGAGAACCTATGTCAGTACCATCAGAATTCCTATTCGTAGAATTTTAAATACTGGGTTAAGTGAAACTACATCTGTTGCCATTCAAACCATGTTAAGACAGATAATGACGGGTTTTGGTGAGCTAAGCTACTTTATGTACAGTGATAGTGATTCAGAGCCTGGTGGCTCAGTCCCAAGTCGAAATTTGGAAAGGGCGGAGTCGCAGGATGGGAGAGGGGGATCTGGTGGTAGTGGTAGTTCTGGTTCACGTTCCAATTTAAGTCCTAGTTCCAGTTCTAGTGGCGAAAGTTCAGAAGCTAGTTCAGAGGTGTTTGAAGGGACAAACGAAGGAAGCTCGTCATCAGGTGCCAGGCGAGAGGGGCGCCATAGGGCCCCCGTAACATTCGATGAAAGTGGCTCTCTGCCCTTCCTTAGTCTGGCTCAGTTTTTCCTCTTAAATGAGGAGGATGATGACCAACCTAGAGGACTCACCAAAGAGCAAATTGACAACCTCGCAATGCGAAGTTTTGGAGAAAACGATGCATTGAAAACGTGCAGTGTTTGCATAACAGAATATACAGAAGGCAACAAGCTACGTAAACTACCTTGTTCCCATGAGTACCACGTGCACTGCATCGACCGCTGGCTGTCTGAGAATTCCACCTGTCCTATATGTCGCAGAGCGGTCTTAACTTCTGGTAACAGAGAAAGTGTTGTGTAATTAAGATCCGAACCCTCAGCCATATAGCTGGTGCAGTAATGGGCAAACAAATCATCTACTTTATGTCCACTTTTTGAGTGGTGCCTAAATATAAAGGAGCAACCTGAATTGAGTCATTGCTTTCTGAATGGATTGTCTTCAATTTCTGTTGCAAAATAAAGAGAAAAATTCGAAAAGCAACGTTTTAGGTCCTACAATCTGACTTCAGTACCAATAGAATCAGTAGCATCTCTATTAACTGATAATTTATTACATATGCTTGTTTACCCTGTGTTATGTTGAACGATCTGCCTTAGCAATGGCTGTCTGTCTCATGTTGATCTTTAAATTTCCCATACCATAGGAAAGAGGGGCGAAGGAAAGTCTCAGTTTAGACTAAGTTACAGTACATGTTTCATAAGTGAGTAAAGCTTTACCATTTCCGGTTATTAGTTTGTCACAAATTCAACTACATTTGTTCACCTTTCAGTCCAGGGGATATTGGACATGTCAGTGTAAATAACACTAAGTTAGGATCTTCGAAGTGTCTGTCTGCTAAGCCCATCACTTGTGGCATACTGTAGAGTGAGCTTTTAGTTTGAGATATTTATCTTGTGGAAATATTAAAAAGCCTATACTTGTGTAAGTGAAAAAAATCAAATTCATTTGTTTAAAACTGTAAAGCTATTTTGTAGCGGCTCTACTTTTTTCCAATGCGCTGTTGTATTGATGCATTAAAAATTGTAAAGTACCATGCTTAGAAATGAAAACAAATGCTTTTTGTGAGCCTGCATAGTAAAACACACCAAACAAAGTACGGTGCTGCTTTTGTAAGTGTGTAGATGTCAAGAGCAGAACATATAATACGTAATGTATGTGAACAGTTAACTGTGACATGCAAAAGGAAAAAACTGCAGAATTGAACTTCATTGAAGACCAAGAGAAATTAATATATTTCAACGGATTTGGGTAGGAAATGAAAGCTTGGAAGAATAAAGAAACCTGCTCTGAAAAATTTAAACTTTCCCTAAAGACAGTAATAATGCAAAGGTGAAGTGGTTTCCTGGGGTACGATGAGAAGTTGGACATGGTGTTCAACTTGAATGGGTGAAACAGAACAGCAGATGTGGCAGAGGTTTGATGTAAGGAAACCACTATTAACCAGCACAAGTAAATTGATGGTCTTACCCCCTATAAAGAATTGGAGTACAAGGTGGAAGGAGAATAGACAGTAAACCCCTCTTAGCATAAGAATTGACCTTGGTACAGATGTGTGTGCTTAACAGGCAAGTCTCAATTTTTTTTTTGAGGTTTGTAATTTAAGGTACCCATGCACACTTGTTAATAAGACATAGTTTAAGGCTCTACAAAGTGAAAAGGTCGACTTGAATTCTTGGGTTACCTTAAATATATAGATGTAAAGATTTTTTTCAAAGCTTGTTCTTTCTATGGCTTTCAATCCTACCTAAGTCGCAAGGAAACTAACTTGTAAACATAGTAGTAGTTTACTAAGGATATGTACTGCTCTTGCAAAGAAGTATGTTCAAAAAAGCTTTACTTAATTTTTTTTTTTAATGTAAGCAGATTTCACGTTTATGGCGCTTATGTAACACATTTTCTCCTTAAAAAAAATGTCCACGTAAAAGTCAGAATTCTTTTGTGTTTGTGAGCCTCTTTGTCTCCTTTCCTAAGGGTGTAATCTACAGTTTTCAGATCGGCAGGGTAGTCCTGATAGGCTAAAAACAAATCCATTTTCCTCTTGATAAAAGATGTTCCAGTAATACAGAGGTATTCATTTTAAATAGCTTATAAACAACTACAGCACATTCTAAGCATAAAAGAAAGTTGACAACAGTTACCTCCCTAACCTCCCAAGTTGTATTAACCATTTGTCAAGTATTAAAATAATAAGAGGTAAATCGTGCAGAATGTTGGTTATGAATGTACATATCGAAGCTGTTCATAAACACTGGAAATAGAATTTTAAGTCTGTAGCTTTCAGTAGAATGCACATATTTGACAAGTGCACGTGGACACCCTTTTCAATAGCACTCATTAATTTTCATTGGATTGTATAGAACAAAGAGATATTTTAGTGGAATTTGCTACTTAATTTTTGATTTTGAAAAGTCCATGGCTAATATATACTTCCAGGGGTTGTGGACATTGAAGACAAGGCCATTTCTAGCTGTGAGATGTATAATGGAGAACAGAAATCTTTTTTTCCCCAGCATCCAACACACAGCATCTTGAGGGGGCATATTTTTGCAAAAGACTACATTTCATTTTGTACCTTTGCACTTTTTCTATTATAGAAAGGTTCTGATCTTTAAGAAATAGTTTGAACTTCATGCAGTAACAACAGTAAGAAAAAATAATGCTAGGGCAGATTACACTTTGAAAGCGTAGGGAAAAGTACTGAAAGCAAAATTCCCTGAATATTTAGATATTTTTAGAAATTCACTCACTAGTCTGAAATGTTTGAAGTGTTTTGTCTTAACGCCGAACAGCTGACAAGATTTGTTTGTTCGTGCTAGAAACAAAATTGAACAAGTTAGGTTCAGAGTCTGCTTTTATCTGTAGCAACACAAGAAAACAAGCTATGTTGTTAATTTGGAATATTCAGTCTAAAAAAGAAGACATAAGTTTAAACCTCATTGATGTTATTGGAGGTGGGGTTTGAAAATGTGTTCATATTAGCATTGGAGTGGAAGGTAATTGTACAGTTAAACATTTTGCGCACGCGCATGCGTGCGTGTGTGTGTGTGTGTATAAAGATACATGCATACAAATGCACATATATTTCTTTTTGTACATTATTAGAATTCAACCAAACATTAAGATTAGGGAATTTGTCCATTATTAGTGTTACCGACAAATAATGGTTGATTTTTATCCTCCCATGGGAAAACATGTTCTTTCCATGCCAACTATTTTCCTAGTCTCAAATTATATGTATGATGAGTTATTACTTAATATGCTTTGTATTTAACGATCTTCCCAAATGCCCATGACATGAAGTGGGTTGAGCAATAACCATGACTTCTGGTCATTTCCCCAAATACCCATATGATAGGGAGGTGAACGTTGATAACTGCCTCTTAAAAGGCCATTTTGAACAACTTGCTAGGTGGTTGATTCTTTTAAAGATAAGAGCATTGCACCACCACCCCCACCCCCGGTTCTTTTGTGAACAAAAAGTAATTTTTCTGAAGTTTTATCTTGCTGGCTTCCCTTCCAAATGTACTACAAATAGTAAGTGCATAGAAGCCACGTGTGCAGGGCACTTTTATTCTTGTCTTATAAGACTATGCTGATGGCTACTTTTGGAAGAAATCTGTACCTTAGTAATGAACGGTTGATAAGGCAAACATTAAATGGCCAGGCTTTTTTTAAAGTATAGTATAATTCTTCAATAGGTTTAATATTCCATTATAGTGTTGTAATTCATCGAGTAACTAGGAAGTTACCTGTTGGGGGGAATTTGTATGGAAAGTATCTCAAGCAAGCCTTTCACTGGGAAAGTTGCAGTGCAGTGCCAGAGGGTCTCCTGTCTCACTCCTTTTAATTCGCAACAGAAAACTGGTTTGGGTGCCTGCTCTTTCACAATTCTTCGTACTTGGTTCCAAAAAAATTCTTGGTACTAACTGGAATGTTTCTAAAATGCCATCTAATCTTCTCCAAAAGTAACTGATCTCACTTTATTTAACCCCATTTTGGATCTAAACATCATCTACAGCGTGGAGCAATTATTGAGGTGTTAGAACTCTCAAAGGATGCTAGGATAATTTATATCACTTTTCTGATTCATTTCACACATAGGTGTTCTGACTAAATGTAGAAAAAGAGGCATACCTTCCAACACCCTAAATACTACCATGAAACGTGGCTTTGATTAGGATTTGTTCTAGAGTCACTTAGGGCTAAGTAAGGGATACCTTGAGTGCACACTGCAAACATGAGCTCCTAGTTGTTTCAAGGTTCCTCTTAGCAGTTTTTTTTATCTTGCCTATTATTTTTAAATACCAAGGCTGACCCAACTCCCCGGCCTTAACTATCTAATGTCCTTTTAATAGCATTCTTTTCACTGATGGATTTGTATATGTTTTAACTGTCCAATGTTTGGATTTTACCTCTTGATAGCTTCATTTGTCCCTGGTGCTGCTCTTAAAGATGTAGGGCCATGTGATCAGGTATCAAGTTGAGTAGGCACGAGGTTGGCCTGGTTATATGTCTGTACCTGTATTCTCTTCTCCCGTGAAGAGCTACTTTGGTATAACTGTTTACTTGCATTCATATAAATAGCTAGGCAGCAGTCATCAAATCTTTCTGAAGCCTCCTAAGAACCTGAAGTGATCTGAAGGGAGAACAGTAATAAAGGCTGCTTTTATGCCTTTGAACATGAAGCAAATAAATGTATGTACTATAAAGACTAACGTTGATTGTTATACCAGGGCTTCCTGACCTCTGGGAGAGACTTTCAAAACTGCAGAGGGGAGCACAAAGTGAAGTGAATTTGGTTGGCTGGCTTGACCTGGTTTCTCAGTTGCTTTCGATTTGAACCTGGACATGACTTCCTTCTCCAGCAGACTCAGACTCCTGGTTGGGAAGCCCTGAATTAAAATTTGAGAATGTACCCAGTTTGGTTTTTTTTTTTGTACAGTGCTTTACACCTGCTAATATAATTTGTTTAATGCAAAACAGGACCTTGAAAGGTCAGTCATATTAAAGCTGGCTTGATTATTACTAATAGTTATCATTTAGGAAGAATCTTTTTCCCTATGTAAGATGTCATACTGCAGATTTAAAATATAGACTATCAATAAAATGCATGAAGTGATCATTTGTGCTTGATCATCTCTCCTTGGGCATTTCTTTTAAAGGGGGAATCTGATCAAAGGGCTGTTGCTTCAAACCAGTGTCAAGTGGACTGGATAAACGAGTGGGAGAAACTTGATTTGGATTCCCCTCTACGAAGACTTTGGGCAGGTGCTGGGTTTACAAGCTCCATCTTATCTGTGTTGTGTAGTTTAACAGTTTCATCTTTGCTTTAAAAAAACGAAACGATTTCAATACAAGAATCCTGGAAAGATTTATGTAAATCTTTATGTAAATGTTAAATAGGAGCACTTTTGTGGTTTCTTATATTCTCCTCATTGCCCTGACCACTCCTTGCTTGACATCTGCATCCGCAAACTTTCCAGGTATGCATGTGTAGTCAAGGAAGCGTCTGCCTTCCATCTTGACCAACAACCTCCTGCACATGTGTCCTAAGTCACCAAGATGTCTTTGTAAATGGATTGTCCCACACTGATACATTGATGAGACTTCCACTTGGCTTATTACAGTTTCATTTTCCCTGGTGTCTACAGAACCTCTATTACTGGCATCAGACAGAACTCTGCTCCTGGTAATAATTTTTATACGACTAACTTAAGACCCTCCCATGGTTTTCATTGTAGAGTCTTTGATACGCAGACCACCACTGACAATAAAGTAGCCAATGCACGTGCCTGGGTTTATTTGGATTGTGTTTTGTTTTGTTTTTCCTTTTTCGAGAGAGAAAGATGGTGCAAAAGACCCAGATACCAAGAACAGACCCTGGGAAATCAGGGTGGATTGCCAACGGGCCTCTTCATAATCATTTTAGAAATATTAAATGAAAATGCAGGCCCAGTTTTGTTGTCTTGGAGTCAAGGCAACGTTTAATCTTTATACCTTGCAAGTAGATTGCTATGAGTTAAATAATAATAGCTAAAATGTACTCATTGCTGTCAGGCAATTTATATGGTTCAATATAAATTAGTCTTCCGTGACTGAGGTGTAAACATCACTTACCACCCTGCTTTACCGATGATGGTGGTGAGATAAACGTGTTCGATTATTTACCCAGTTACTTATTAAGTGGTATTGTATCTCCACTCAGGTTTCCGATTACAAATCTCATTTTTGTTGTGCGCTGACTAAACCTATTTTGGCTGGTTTGCCAAGGAAAAGAAGGGCCGATAATTTCTCCAAAAAAAGATCCAAGATCACCTCTCGTAAATTCAGTAAGTATCTTAGGGCCGGTTCCAGACACCCCTCAGCACTCTGAACAACGAACCCGTGAGAGAGAAAGGTATGAAGCTGTCCGCAGAGTGGAGGTAGGCTGCACTAAGAGGAAGCTCTCAGGTAGTGCAATAGCTACGTCCTCGGCTGCTGAGCACGAAGCTGTTTCCACCTGCCCCACAGCTCCCTGGGATAAAGGCCTGGTGATCTGGCCTTGTCAACATCACAGCCTAGGAAACCTTATGGGGACAGCTCTCTGCCCTGAGTCAAAATTGCTTTGATGGCACCCAACGACAATGGCCATCTCAACACGCAACTACTTGCTCTTGGCCCAAAATAATTTGAAATATGAAATGACTAGCCATAACTGGTGACTTTTTAAAAGTTGTTTAAAAGATATTTGGCTAAAATTGATTATGGTGATTGCACAACTCTTGATATGATTGAGCTATTGAATTGTATGATATGTGAATTATATGCCAATAAAAATGGGAAAAAATACCTTTGGGGTTTGTTTAAAATTGTTTTCGGATTCATGAACCATTGAAACAACCTTATTCCGTTTGGTCCCTTTGTCACCCTTGAGGTGAATCTTAGGGCTGTTTCTGAGAATTACTTTTTTCCTGATGGATGCAGAGTTAGCATTCTGAAATATATTCCAAAGAATGTGCCATGAACTCTAAAGGCATAAGCAAGGCATTTCAAATAATAGGTGCAGAATTTTCAAATGACTGTGCAGGTGAATACATTGAAAAAATTACCATGCCTCATTCAATATTTGAAGCGGAAAGAAAGAGTCCCCACCCACAAGAAGCAGGCATGTGGATCATTACAGTGGAGACATGCAAATAATATGAAACCTAAAGAGAAGTGTGCACTCTATCCATCCCCTTTCAAATAGGTTATCACTGTCGGAGAGCTAGAAATACAATCCAGATCACTTATGTCCGAGAGCTAGAAATACAACGCAGATCACATGTCCTTTTAAGCTTTCTAGCAGTCACACAAAAGGAGAAAAGACACAAGTGAAGCGAGTTTTCGTGTTTTTATTTAACCAAATATGTAAAGTGTTTCAACATGTAATCTAAATAAAAGTCAATGATCTTTTTCTCATATTGGCTTCAAAATCTGGTATGTGTATAATGCTTACATATCTCATTTGGACAATTGCTCAATTGCCACAGGTAGATAAGGATAGGTATCACAGCTACTCACCTTAAACTACCCCAAAGCTAAGTATCATTTTTAATTCGTGTTAAAGATTGCATCTATCCAAGCTTACAGAACTACGTTAAGTTAAAAATACACTCCAGTTTACTAGAACTTGCTATCTAGTAGTAAGATTTAGCAAAACCTGACAATGGTTGAGGATTCCATGATTAGAAGGGAAGCCCAGCACAACGGCAGTGTGCTGTAGCAGCCAGTAGAAAACAGTTGTGCTTCGTTTATTTCATGAATAAGCCCCCATAATTTTATGGGAGATCATAGTTCCTAATATGAAGGAAGACAAAAAGTATTGCTATAGAGTCACAAAACATTATTAAAAATGTCAACCATGAGGTTATTGTTTCTCGACGTGTCTATAAACTTCTGGTGGTATTTTGCCTTTTTTAACAGGAAGAATTCGCCACTGTTCAATTTTATACCATGTCAGAAAGAATAGCAGTTTTGACATCCTCCAGGGATTCTAACTCTTCCATTGAAATGTTCTTAGGGGAACAAAAAGAAAGCTGAAGGTTTCCCAATGAAATGTTCCTTCTCCAACCCTTGCTACCGTCAGAATGAGCAGGTACAGGGCGGTGGGAAAACAATTCTGGGCGTAACTTTCCTGACCTTTTTCTCATCAACGCAGTTTTCAATGTTCTTAAAACTTCCTAACATGACCTTGTGGTCGTCCTGTGTCCTTTGAGAAAGTCTATCAAGACTGCCCTTTCAGAACCCCCAAACCAGTCACTGTAACGTGACCTCGCCTCTGCCATGAACTTAGTACTTAACTCGGAAGCTTGCTTCTGAAGCCGGTGCTTTGATTGGTTGGACCTGGCTCTCTGAATAACTAAAAACCCACTGCCATCCATTCGACTCGTACTCCAAGGCTGTAAATCTTTTCACGCGGCCATCAAGGCAGTGGTGGCTCAGAGCAACCCCCTTTTGGTTTCTGAGACTGACTGTTACAGGAGGAGAACGCCCAGTTTTTCCTTCCTCGGACCGCTCACCGTGCAGATCACAGCCCAAAGACATAACCTGTGTGGGAGTAGAAAGGTACATCTTTCTCCCACGGAGTGGTTGCTGGTAGGTTTGAACCACTGACCTACCTTGCAGGTAGCAGCTCAGAATTCCTTCAAAGCAACACAGTATTGGTAAATATAAGACGGCCCCTGAGTTAGGATTTGTTTTGTATTATCTTGATTAGATTTAATCTTGCTTAAAAGACTGGTAAAAGGATCCGTTATTTGAACTTGCTGATCTTTGTGCAGTGCTTTTTGGCATCCTTGCTGAAGTCAAAATAATGACTTAAAACCCAGAGGAGGTACACTGGTACAGATAGGAACTGGAAACACAGGGAATCCAGGGCGGATGATCCCTTCAGGACCAGTGGTGAGAGTGGCGATACGGGGAGGGTGGAGGAAGGGTGGGGTTGAAAGGAGGAACCCATTATAAGGATCTACATATAACCTCCTCCCTGGGGGATGGACAACAGAAAAGTGGGTGAAGGGAGAAGTCGGATAGACATGACAAAATAATAATTTATAAATTATCAAGGGTTCATGAGGGAGGAGGGATCAGTGAGGGAGGGGGAAAAATGAGCTGATTCCAGGAGCTTAGTGGAGAGCAAATGTTTTTAGAATGATGAGGACAATGAATGCACAAATGTGCTTTACACTATTGATGTATGGATGGATTGTGACAAGAGTTGTATGAGCCCCCAATAAAATGATTTTTAATGTAAATATTAAATCATGTGAAATCCCAACTTCTGTAGCTGTAACACCAATGTAATTCTACAGTGGTCCACTAGTTTCTGGGCTTCAGCCACCGTTTTTTTCCTTCATCAAAGTAGATGGTCTTTCTACTCTTGGCTCATCTTTGAAGTCTTCCAGACCTTGATTCATCTTAATGCTTGATTCATCTTAATAACCATTGTTTTATGTAGGGCAGCAGTTTGTTAAGAATTGGATCTGAACCCTAACCTCAAAACCATTTTTTTCCATGACAAACGTATCTTTTTTTAAAGTCACCCTAATGAGAAATAGATAGGTGTTATCGCTGAGAGAATTTGTCCTCAGCCATGCAGGGATCACAGAGAGATGTTTAAGAAGCACATTTTGTTTGGAATAAACCCCTGCCTGTCTAAACTGGTAAGCTTTTTTTCCGCTTACCCTGGTAGATGTTAAAATAATACACATAAAAACGAAGACAAAGCGGGTGAATAAGCAAATGTGAAGAAAGCTGATGGTGCCCGGCTATCAAAAGATATAGCGTCTGGGGTCTTAAAAGCTTGAAGGTAAACAAG